ACAACCCCCTTTTCTCATATATGTTTCTCAACTGGGTTGGACTTGACATTGAAGGTTCAGTTGGGTTTTGTGTTAGAGGTCTGATCACTGATGGACTAGGAGAGGAGAGTTTTGGTTGGGCCAGGGAGAGGTTCGGTCGATAGCGTCCACTTATTCTCCTTTTCATTTTAGGCCTGTTTGGCAGGCATTTGTTTTGTTATTTTTTTTAATTTTTTTCCTTTAAAATTATATATATATATATATATATATATATTATTTTGTATTTTTAAAAAAATATATAACATCTATCATGTTTAAAAAAGCAAGTAATTTCTCTTTTCTAACCTTCGATTGGGCTCCACCTTTTTCCCTCGTCTTTTATTCTCCCCACCTTCTGCTAGGTTGACAGCCACCTTCGGTTAGGTAATGGGTGTTTTCTTCTCCCTCTCTCTTTTTATCTTCCCCTCGCAAAGCAACTACAATCTTCATTTATGCCTTAGCATATATAAAAAAGAAAATATGATGAAAGATGTGACATCTTCAAATAAGACTAATAGTCTAGCGTGTTCTTTCTGTAGTTTGAGGTAGTGTTTGATATTGCAGTGGTAGTGATTTTTAAAATATTTTTTATTTATAAATATATTAAAAATATATATTTTTTTATTTTTTAAAATTTATTTTTAACATCAACTTGAAAAAAAATATAATTTTTTTTAAATATGATACCACTATAAAAACAAACACAGCATAAATTTAGCCAGATTTTGACAAATATTTAAAAATTTAGCCAAAAAATACATCCAACAACCCTTTGGACTTCTCAAACACAAATAAGATAACAAAACAAAATAAAAAAAAAAAACTCTTTGTAAAGTACAAATCAATATAAAATTCGAGTTTAAATTTTTTGTTATAAAAATTCAAATTGATATACCCAAGATGAAATCATTCGAGTATTGATATATGTTTAGATTGGATTCCACAAACAAAAATTTTCCTTCTCACCTCTCTTTGTTTTAGCTTTCATATTTTTTAATGGATGATCTATTCTTAAGTATTTGGTTTAGCGTTAATTTTTTTATAGAATTGGTTTAGGGTTAATTAAGACAAAATAAAATATCAAATCAGGTTTAAAACATATTTTATTTTTACAAAATAACTAAAACAACCACATAGTTGGACCTAACTTTAACATATGACCTTTTATCACTGGCCATATCAAGTTTAAGAGTTTAAGAAGAGTAAAAGTTACTTAATCATAGTTCAGTATATAAATCACAAAAAATACTTGAGAAATAAATACTTCTTGATCATTTTAGGATTTCGCAAAGATAATCTTAGAATTCATTTGGTGTTGACTTATAATTCTTCTTTTTTGTAAGTTATAATTTCAAAATATTTTTTTATAAATAGTGTAGGATTAAAGTAAGTTAAAATTATGTTTAATAAAAACAGGTAAAATCATTTTTTTTCAATAAGAGATGTAGTATAAATTAGAATTTATAAATTAAAAGTTTAGATTTTAAATATTTAATTAAATAAAAATTCTTATCAAATTTTATTACAAAATCTTGATGGAAGAAAAAATTCCTTTTAATTATAATATTTGGTATTGTGGTTGCTTTTGAATTTGTGGATTCATAAAGGTAATTTTTGAAAAAAATACTTTTTTGTGTGGTTGCTTTGCGTAAATTATGTGTTTGGTAAAATTTATGGTTAAAACTAATTATTCACTAAAAACATGTGATTAATATTTGATTAAAATTATGGTAAAACATGAAATTACCAAATAGATATTAATTGTTTCCATACTTGACATTGAACAATTAATATATATTTAATATTAACTACTTGAAAATAAAATTCTACGCTAACAATAACACACGTGATTATCCGCGAATAAGGGATTATAGGATTATATTTGGTATTGTAGTAGTTGTTGTGGTTATAGTTTCAAAAAAGTTGTTTTTATAAAAAGTATTTTTAATTGAGATTAGGTTGGAAAAATATATATTTGATTAAAATTATGGTTGAAATTGATATTGATTAAAAAGTAATTTAATATGTTTGGTTAAGAGTATTTTTCAAATTGAAGTTATAAAATAACTAAAAAAGACATATATTAATATTGATGGTTTTTAATTGAAATACTGAATATTTAATTACTATTATATCATGAAATAAATAATATTTTATATAAAATATTTTTTACTATTTCATTAAACTATGTGCACTTTCATCATGTATGAAATTTATCAGACAAGGATCATAGTTTTTATGGTTTCTTGAGCGTATAACAACATGAGGTAAAATATTATCAATAACAAAATTGAGATTGCAATCAAATTTTGCAAATGGTATGCCATCATAAAATCTCCTTCTAATGTAACTATATAGTGCCACTGAATCATGTTAAACATTAATTTTTTTAAAAAAATACAATATCTGAGAATTTTTATTTTATTTTACTAGGTCGAATTCGATTCAATGCATTTGGGTTTGAGTTGGACTCGATCTAATGCATTTATGTTTGGGGCGAACCTAGTTTGACCCATCAACAATAGAGTTGCTCTCCACTATTTACTTTGTAGAACAATGGGAAGTAACTAAATATGGTAGAAGGAGAAGGAGAAGGAGAAGGAGAAGGGGAAGGGAAAAGACGATAAAAGGAAAAGGAAAAGGAAAAGGAAAAGGGGAAGGGAAAAGACGACGATTGAAATTATAGAGGGAAGTGGTGAGGGAGCTGCTCTCCATTGTTTACGTTGCAGAACGGTGGTGATAGGAAAGTGCATAAGAAGAAGGGGAAGGGGAAGGGGAAGAGCCGACTATATGAGGTGGCGATGATATCTGACATGTAGTGGAAACAACGGAGGTCGTTAATGAACTAACAATCCAATGCTCTCCACTATTCATTATTCCACTGTTAACTTTTTTTTTCTTCTTTTTCCTCTATTTCTACTCTTTTTCTTGGGCACATCTAGTTATTGTGTTATATCACAGTTTCAACAAAGCAGCTTGAAATTACTTTAGCAAATCTTGCAGTTTAGAAAGCAAAATATAATGGGTCCCACAAACTTTAAACTATGTTTATATCGTATTCAAACATATATAGATAACGTTTTTCTATAAACATAGCTGCAGCACCAAACACGCACTTAATAACAATAAATTTAATGTTAGTTTTTGTTGATCTTTGTCATGGAGTAAAGGGTGGTTGATGTAGACTTGGTTTTGATTTGTGTTTTGTCATGGTTTATGAGTGGAAAAGAAGAAGAAGATGATGAAAATATTGGTTATAAAGAGAGGTTCTTTAATATTGGAAGAGGTTGGTGTTAATTTGAATAATATGGATAATAAGAGTCTTATAATGCGGTTAGAAATGTGGTTGTCATTGTTTTTAAAAGTATTTTTGACTAGAAAATACATTAAAATAATATTTTTTTATTTTTTAAAAATTATTTTTTATATCAGCACGTTAAAATGATATGAAAATACAAAAAAATATTAATTTAAAGTAAATAAAAAATAATTTTTTTAATATTTTTAAAACACAAAAACAAAGAGGGCTTAAATTGGATCTTAACTGGAGAACTAAAAAAAAGAGAAGGATAAAGATATATTTCGTAAAAATGTTAAATAGTCTTATAGGCTTATTACTTTTTGCAATATAGTTTTAGAAACGAGTAGGTGTGTTTGGTATTGTGGTTATTTTTGTTGTCATAATTTGAAAAAAATTATTTTATAAAAAGTATTTTTGGCTAAAATTATGGTTGAAATTGAGGTTAAATAAAAAGTTATTTTATGTGTTTAGTTAAATATGTTTTTTAAATTAAGGTTAAAAAATAACTAAAAAAAATATATTAATATTGATGATTTTTAATTTAAATATAGTAAATTTAAATATTACTATTACATCATTAAATAAATAATATTTTATATCAAATATTTTTTATTGTTCCATTAACTTATTTACAATTTCATCAAATATTAAATTCATCCGATAAGAACTACAATTTTCATGATTTTTTGAACTTGTAATAAAATCAAGTAAAATATCATCAGAAATAATATTTTAATTGCAATTAAATTCTGCAAATATTACATCATCTTGCGATCTCTTTCTAATTTATAATATTAAATATAAATTAAAAAAATTAAATTTTTTTACTGATTTGAACATAATCCAATGAATAGTAAAGTCATTATTCACGTGAACAATGACTCATGAATTATAAGTGTCTGACAATTCATGTAAAAAATATTAGGTGATAATTCACTTTATACATATGGTAATGAAACGAGCAATAAAAAACAATAATTTTTTATTTTAGTAAAACCAGTGGTATAATCTTAATTTTTTATTGAAAAAATCATTAAGTTTCATTTAAATATTTAACTAAATAACTATAAATTGTGGTTATAACATAACACAATTCCAACCATAATATTAAATATGAAACAATCACTAAAACATGCTTTTCACTAGCATATGGTTGAACGATTTAATATGAATCACACATCTTTAAATTAGTGTTTTACTTGTTATCAAACACATATTAGAGGGTTATTAAAAAGCTTTTGATTTGAAGGTGATTTTAGCTTTTTTATATGAGACTCGTACAAAGAAAACATATATTATTAATTTTTAAAGATATAATTTATACTTTAAAATAATTATACTTTAAAAAAAAACCACCGAAACTCCCATTCAATTAATCACTTTCCAAACACAAAACAAATAACGAGTTTGTTAAAAGTTAAAATAATTAAAATTAAAATTCATACGGAACTCAACTTTGAATAATTAATTGCGTTACACTTGTTTAGTCCATGTCAGCAATCTGTGTTAAACGACTGCCATGGAACTATAGCAAACAATCTATACCGCCTACTGATAAACTACCCTTTTCTAATCCAACGATCGAAACCACCCACGTCATCAATCCATATAAAAAGCAACGACCAATCACACAAGGACACTACCCGGCTCCTATTATATAAGTGAAGAAATAATACTCTCACAGCACGAAAAGTCATCTCCAACGAAAAACACTCTCTTGGCCTCTCCTCTCCTCCTCTGTATTCGTCGCCTTTGAGAAAAGATGGCACCAAGAGCAGAGAAAAAGCCAGCGGAGAAGAAGCCGGCGGAGGAGAAGAAGACAGTGGCAGAGAAAGCCCCTGCAGAGAAGAAGCCAAAGGCGGGCAAGAAGCTCCCAAAAGAAGGCGGAGCAGCAGTAGCTGGAGACAAGAAGAAGAAGAGGGTGAAGAAGAGCACGGAGACCTACAAGATCTACATCTTCAAGGTCCTGAAACAAGTTCATCCAGATATTGGGATTTCAAGCAAGGCGATGGGTATCATGAATTCGTTCATTAATGATATTTTCGAGAAGCTTGCTCAGGAATCCTCAAGACTTGCTAGGTATAACAAGAAGCCCACGATTACCTCGAGGGAGATCCAGACTGCTGTCAGGTTGGTTTTGCCTGGAGAGTTGGCTAAGCATGCTGTTTCTGAGGGAACTAAGGCTGTCACTAAGTTCACTAGTTCTTAGATTAGCTATGTACTTTCTTTTGTTCATGTGGTTAATTGGGCCTCTTTTTTTTTGTTCTTTTTCTGTTTCTCTAGTATGCAAGTAAGTCTCTAGGGTTAGGGTTTACGCTTGATCTGTGTGTTTCTATAGTAGAAATGAAATACAGCAGTAGTCGCAGTGTTGTTAACTCTGTTCAATTATGGTTCCGTCTCTTGATAATTTCTGGTTTTGTTTGCCTTAGTGGATGTCTATCAGCTCTAGGAATATTTAAGAAAAAGGGACAGTTGATGGAGTTGTGGAATCTAAGGGTGAAAAAGGATGATCAACAGCAAAAAGAAAATGCCCCATTTCCTAAACAATGTCTTCTTTAGCATCTTTTATCTCCATGATCTTATATAATCGAAGAGACGTGAAGGCTAGTGGGTGATTTGGAATCTACAAGAAGCAGGTGGCACAGTTTTGAAAAATTGACTAACAATAGTGATAGATTACCAGGAATTATCCAATTACAATGGCTAATCTTACTTATTTCTCAGCCCTTAACATTGCTTCTTCTTCAGACTCTTTTCTTGCTTCCTCCTTTGAAGCCTCAAGAGCTTCAATCAAACACTTCAAACAAGTCTCCTCGTCTTCTTCGTCTGACTTTGGCATCAGATTCTCAGCAACATCAGCAGGTCTATCTTTGTCTTCCCCAACAACTATTCAATTTTTCCAAACAATTCGTGGGACTCGAGTTCCAAACAATTCTTGGCTAGCACCTTGAATGCTTCAAAGAAACAATATGACATTTCTATGCTCGTCCATCCTCACCCTCCTTATTAAAGCAGGATCCAGTCTGTCCACATAATTGGTAGTGAACACAATAATTCCTTCTCCCCCACATGCTGACCAGATTCCATCGATGAAATTCAAAAGCGCTGATAAAGTAAACTTACCAGTGCGTTTGCTCTCTTCTTCAGCCTCCTTTTTCTTCTTAGAAATTGGATCCTTATCTTTTCCTGTTTCGGCATCATTCTCATCGTTCTCCTTTTTCTTCCTCTGTCCTGTTAGATCAAGTGAGCAATCAATATCCTCAATCACGAAGATAGATTTTCCAGTGGTTTGGATCAATAGCTTCCTAAGATCGCTGTTGTCCTTGATTGTGGTCAACTCAAGATCATAAAGATCATAACCCAAGAAATTAGCCATAGCAGCAATGATAGTCGATTAGCCAGTTCCCGGAGGGCCATAAAGGAGATAGCCACGCTTCCAGGCAATCACGATGATAGACTGGCTTTCATGGACAACATCAGCCTTGAGTCTCTTAGCAGTCTTTGTAGAATTGGAGCTGAGATAGTTTTGAATGGCAGAAAGGGCCTCGCTGCGCTTGAGACGCTCACTCGTGAATTCATGAAAGGTAATGTGGATGCAAGGATACCACCCAACTTATCAACTTCTGACTAATTTTTCGAGATAGCCACGAAGTCGATGAGGGAAATATTGTTGAAAAATGACCCGAGCAAACTTTAGGCCAGTTATGGCCGAGCTTAGTTGAGTCCATGCTTCTCCAGTGATCACTGAAAATGACAAGAAGAGTTAGAGATTAAGTGTTTTTTATTCCTCAAACTGCAAAGTAGAATCAGATTTACATGGTACACGGTAGGGATGCATGACTCCAGGTTTTTTTTATTTTATTTTAATCAGATTTATCGCTCATCTATGATGAAGTTTGGTATATATAACCTGTTGACGTAAGGATTGGACGAGACCTAGTGCTGTTTAGTTAAAAAAGTTTGGATATTTTTTTAAATAATATTATCTTAGATATTTTATTAAAAAATTAAATTAATTCAGGTCAATTTTTATTTTTTATTTTTTTAGATTAACGTGGATATCCGGACCAGTTTGCGTATACCATAACTAATCTCACAGGTCCTGAAGTTAATAACCCTGTAAGCCTTCCATGGCCATTATAGAAGTAAATAAGAACTCGAATTGAGGTCAATTTAGTTCGCTTTGAGTCTGATCAAATCAAGACTATTATTATTATAATCAAAAGAGACGCTTCATTTTCTACCGAAGATGCGAGAGGGTGGCATCTGCAGCCTCCACCTTTGATCTCGTATACACGATAGTATAACTACAACTTTGGTATTACCAAAACAAAGAAAAAGAAACCACAATTTTCGGAGGGCGTTTTCGAGGGAGTGTTTGTTATTGTATTAGTTATTTTTTAAATTGTATTAAAATAATATATTTTTAAAATTTTATTTTTGATATCAACGTGTAAAATGATCCAAAAACTGAAAAAAATAAAAATAAAAATATTATTTTTTTTAAAAGCAGAGTTTTACTGGAAAAACAAATATCTTTTTAAGGCTTGTTTGGTGTTTTAGTTCAACGGTTTGAATATTTTTTGTTGCTCTAAATTTTTTTTGTTGTATTTTTTTATTGTTTTAATTGTATTGATTAGAAATAAATTTTTTAAAATAAAAAATATTATTTTAATATATTTTCATGTAAAAAATATTTTGAAATGGAACACCTAAACATTTTTAAATAGTTATTTAGAACACAGCTGGGCACATATTTTCAAAAAAAAAAAAATTTGTTTTTAATTTTATTATATTTTTGAATTATTTTGATATTACAAATATTGAGGAAGTTGGGGTCGTAGAGGTGGACAGCCTTGATTGGAGAGTGACTAGCTCACACGTGAATGAATCTAAAATTTATGGAAGAGACAAGGAGAAAGAAGACCGAGGAAGTTGGGGTCGTAGAGGTGGACAGCTTTGATTGGAGAGTGACTAGCTCCCACGTGAATGGATCTAAAATTAATGGAAGAGACAAGGAGAGAGAAGATTTAATCCATTCATTGCTCACCACTTCAAATGATCTCTCTATATATATATATATATATATATAAATACTTTTAAAAAATATTTTTACTCCAAAATAATCTTTTAGTGTTCATGGTTTATCATAATTTAATTTTGTATTTGTTTCTGTACAGCATCATTGGTTTTCCTTGATTTTACTGTAAGAAGGTCGAGTCATCATAGAGAGAGACAAATTCAATGCATGAATCTTTCAAAAACTCCCAGTTCTTCCAGCACGAAGTTGCTAATTTTCCTTTAAGCACCTGCATTCTCTATGATACGTGAAGAAAAAATTAAATAGTTTACTCTGAATTTCCTAGCATTCACATGTAACATCCACACCAAACTTCTCTCTCCATATCCATATCCATATTCATTTCTTCTATATTTTTGTTTTTCCAAGAAAGGGAAGCACACAAGGGGCTATGTCTGATGCCCTTGTTTCTGCTCTTGTGGCTGCAGTCTTGAGCAACTTGAATTCAACAGTGCTTCAAGAACTGGGAGTTGTTGAGGGGCTAAAGGCTGAGCAAGAGAATCTCAAGCGCACCTTCACAATGATCCAAGCTGTGGTCCGGGATGCAGAGGAGAAGCAATGGAAGAATGAGGCTATAAAGCAGTGGCTGATCAACCTTAAGGATGCTGCTTATGATGCTGATGATGTGCTGGATGAGTTCACCATTGAAGCTCAAAGGCATTTGCAGCAAAGCGATCTCAAAAACCGAGAAAGATCCTTCTTTTCTCTTGCTATAATCTACTTTTGTTTCGAGTGAAAATGGCACGTAGATTGATAACTGTAAGAGAAAAGTTAGATGCCATTGCCAAGGCGCATGACTCCCATCTAAGGAGGAAGTTGGGGTCGTAGAGGTGGACAGCCTTGATTGGAGAGTGACTAGCTCACACGTGAATGAATCTAAAATTTATGGAAGAGACAAGGAGAAAGAAGACCTAATCCATTCATTGCTCACCACTTCAAATGATCTCTCTGTTTATGCTATTTGTGGGATGGGTGGAATGGAAAGACAACTCTTGCTTAGTTAATCAACAGCGACGATATGGTGAAGAGGCGTTTTGACTTGAGAATTTGGGTACGTGTTTCTAATGATTCGGACTTTAGAAGGTTGACAAGAGCCATGATAGAGTCTGTTGAAAATAGCCCTTGTGACATTACAGAGCTTGATCCCTTGCAGCGTCTTCAAGAGAAGTTACGTGGAAAGAAGCTTTTGTTCGTGTTGGATGATGTGCGGGATGATTACCATGATAAGTGGAACAGTTTGAATGACTTACTAAGGTGTGGAGCAAGAGGTAGTGTTCTTGTAATAACTACCCGTGTTGAGATTGTTGCTCTTAAAATGGAACCAGTTTAATGTCTGCATATGGAAAGATTATCCGATGATGATTCTTCGCATTTGTTTGTGCGACTTGCGTTCAGGACGAGGAGGAGAGGGGAGCATGCACACTTGGAGACAATCAGAAGAGCGATAGTTAAGAAGTGTGGTGGGGTTCCTTTAGCTATAAAAGCACTAGGAAACGTGATGCCGTTGAAGAAACATGAAGATGAGTCAAAGAAAGTGAGATTTGGGATCTATGACAAGAAGGAAGCTCGATTTTGCCTGCCTTGAGATCACGTTACGTTAATCTACCTCCACACTTGAAGCAATGCTTTGCATATTGTTCCATATTCCCTAAAGATTATGTCAAGGAGAAGGACCGGCTCATAACTCCATGGGTGGCAAATGGTTTTATTGCTTGCAAAGGGCAAACGGATTTACATGGCATGGGGCATGATATTTTCAATGAATTAGCTGGGAGGTCATTTTTTCAGGATGTGAAGGAAGATGGATTGGGAAACATAACATGTAAACTGCACGATCTCATCCATGATCTTGCACAATCCATTACGTCCCATGAACGCATTTTGATTGCGGGCAATACAAAGATGCAAATTTCAGAAGCAGTTCGTCATGTGGCTTTTTAGGGGAGATCATTAGTATCTGCTCCTGGTGACAAGGACCTCGAAGCTAGGTCACTGCGCTCAGTTTTGGTGCCTCATTTTGATGACAATATAAAGCCTTGGAGTGAGGATCTTCATCCTTACTTCTCTAGACAAAAGTGTCTAAGGGCCTGGCTATAAAGTTTACGAAATTGCCTGAATCAATTTGTAATTTGAAGCATCTAAGGTATTTAGATGTCTCCGGCTCCTTCATCCATAAACTGCCTGAATCAACCATTTCTCTTCAAAACTCGCAAACTCTGATTCTAAGAAATTGTACAGTCCTTCATATGTTACCCAAAGATACGAAGGACATGAAAAATCTCACGTATCTTGACATCACGTGTTGTGAAGAACCTCGGTGCATGCCAGCTGGAATGGGACAACTGCCTTGCCTACAAAAGCTCAGCATGTTCATTGTGGGCAAGCATGATGGTCACGACATAGGGGAGCTAAATAGATTAAATTTTCTTGGGTTGAATTGAGGATCAAGAATCTTGATAATATTCAAGGTTTAACAGAAGACAGAGTTGCCAATTTGGCGGGGAAGAAAAATCTGCAGTCACTGAATTTATCTTGAAAAAGAGAAATAAGCACTAACGCCAGCATGGAAAGAAGTGAAGAGGTTCTTTGTGGTCTCCAACCCCATTCAAATCTAAAGCAGCTATGCATAAGTGGATATCAAGGCATAAAATTTCCAAATTGGATGATGGACTCGCTTCTACCAAATCTAGTGCAAATATCAGTGGAAGAGTGTTGCAGTTGTGAGCGTCTTCCACCTTTAGGGAAACTACAATTCCTTAAGAACCTTCGTCTGAAGAGTGTGAAAGGTTTGAAGTATATTAGCAGGGATGTGTACGGAGATGAGGAAATACCATTCCCATCACTGGAGAGTCTGACTTTAGATTCCATGCAGAGCTTAGAGGCATGGACAAATACAGCTGGAACTGGAAGAGACAGTTTTCCTTGCCTTCGTGAGATAACAGTTTGTAATTGTGCTAAGTTGGTGGACTTGCCAACCATACCATCTGTTAGAACATTAAAAATCAAGAACAGCAGTGCTGCATCACTCTTATCGGTCAGGAATTTCACTTCTCTTGCCTTCCTCAGTATTGAGAACTTCTGTGACTTGACAAATCTTCCTGATGGAATGGTGAAAAACCACGCTTTCCTCGAGCGCTTGGAAATTGTTAGGCGGAGAAATCTCAAGTCACCGTCAAATCAGCTTGATAATCTATTTGCTCTTCCTGATGGAATGGTGAAAAACCACGCTGTCCTTGAGCGCTTGGAAATTGTTAGGCTGAGAAATCTCAAGTCACTGTCAAATCAGCTTGATAATCTATTTGCACTTAAACGCTTGTTTCTTATAGAATGTGATGAACTTGAAAGCTTGCCAAGGGAGTGCAATAACTGACCGTCCTCGAGCATTTGTATATTTATGGATGCTCACAGCTGAATTCATTGCCACAGAGCATCTAACATCTCACTTCTCTACGATCTCTGACAATCTGTGATTGCAAGGGAATTTCTTCTCTGCCAAATCAGATTGGACATCTCATGTCACTTTCATACTTGCATATCTCGGATTGCCCTGATTTGATGTCTTTGCCTGATGGAGTAAAGAGACTTAACGTGCTCAAGGAGCTGGAAATTGAAGAATGTCCGAATCTGGAGAGGCGGTGCAATAAAGAAACAGGAGAGGACTGGCTGAAGGTAGCTCACATCCCTGAGATTGTTATCAACAGTGAAGAAATCCAGTCCCTGGGTTCTTGGCAGAGATGAAGAAATGATGATTGGCCCTCTTGGTATCTGACGAGAAACAGTCTATCAGAATCAATTCTAGGGTAATATTTTGCTGTTCACACACTCTTCCTCTGTTTTGATAAATTTAGACCGTTTTTTCCTGCTAGTATCCATAATTCCTATAAAACCCGACCCGAACTATATTTCGAGTCGAGAATCAACCCGCAAAACCAGACCTGGTTTATTAACTACAGTCTATCGTGCTTAGATTGGAATCTCGGTACAACGCCGGTGAATTTCATTGGATTTGAATAAATAATAAATCCAATGGTTGTAATGCCATCACGGCTGTACCAATACTTGAACATCTGCATAAAATCAACCCCCGGCTTCTACTCATGCGTTATACACATATATGATATTTTGACTTTTTGAAATTTAATTTATCACAATTGTTTTGGAGTTTTCGAGTCCTTGCTGCTCAACAAATTGAAGAAGATATCCAGCCCACCAGACCCTTAAATGGGCCGTCTATACGTATACTTTCTGGGAGTCCCTCCTTCCATAAAAAAAAAATAATTAAAATAAATAACTGGGTGATCAGGAGTACAATAGGTTCTGGTTTTAAGTGATTTTTAAAAATATATTTATTTAAAAAAATTAATATTTTTTTAATTTTTTAATAATTTTAATATACTGTTATGAAAAATAAAAAATATTTTATATATTTTTAAATAAAAAAATATGAAATTATTTTTAATTATTTATTTAATAAAATTATTTAAAAAAAAAACACAACACCTTAATAAAAATCACGCGTCGAATCAAAATTTAGGGTAAAATTGAAAATTTGGAACATGAGCTAAAGGCTTCTAGAGAGCTCCTATGAAGTCACTTAAAAGACACAAAAGGTGAAGGTTGATCATGAGAAGCATACCTGGTTCTTGGGCCCTTTCATGGGCTTGTTTTAAAAAAAGAGGCCCTTTTCTTTTCCTTTTCAATGCTCAAAAGGGACATCCATCCACAATTTAGCTGGATGGAACTGTCATCCTTTCTTCAATCATGATTTTAGGGAGTGGGAGGCAATTATGACTCCCTTTACTATCTTATCTTATACTTTACTTTGATTAATTATATATATATATATATATTATTTTTTGCTGAGAAGCAAGTCGTATCATTTTTGGAAGCAGTTTCTGTGGGGTAAAAGGAAAATATATAAGAGAAGACACTATGGCCCAACTCCAACACATTCGAACTTTATAGTCATTCGGCTTTCCATTTTTTTATATCCGCCGATGGACCTCCATTCATGAAAAAAAGGAAATCAGTCACAGGAACAGGATTACTGGCTATAGCTAAAAAATATTTTTTAGATAAAAAATAATTTGAGGTTGTACCTCACCGACTGATAATTACTGGCTATAGCTAAATTGTTAAAGCATGCCATTAACTTGGCGATAGAAATATTTTTTCCAACACATTCTAGCTAGTATCATATTATGCACAGAAAACTAAAAAAAAAAACAATGAAGATTGCGCATTTAAGCAAATTGATGGTGTCAGTCCGTCAGATTGTTTTACAAATTTTCAGATACAGGTTGAAGAAAATGGACAAAAGATATTTTACCCTAGTTTGCCTATGAAGGAGCCTGGAAGAATTTCCAGATTTGTAGCAATATATACACTGCATGCATTGCTGATTGCATCACACAAAATCATACCCTTTTTGTGCAACAAAATTAACCCATCTCTTCTTTTACTCAGTGGATTCACCCCATTTCCTGCTCATTTCAACTTTGTATCTGTGCCTTTGTGTGTAAACTGTGCTTTGCCTTGGACATGCTTGCGAGCGAGAGAGCACTTGAAGGGTTTTAGCAATCGCATCACAGTGGATTTTGAATTTTTCTGAGTAGTTTTTCTTTTTTCTTTTAGTTCCTTTCATTCTTATATATATAGCTTGATCTCATCGAATAACTATCATGCTTAGATAAGATTTATACGAAGTTCTGAATTAACTCATCCAGAATAATTTCACCCTCTCACAAGAATATTTTAAAACTTGCAAGCTAATTCTATATATTATGTATCTTTTGTTAAAGTCTTGTACACGTTCATGGAGGTTTCTACAAGAACAACCTCTGAAAAGCATTATACAATCTTATCATTATGCTTGAAACTTCAACAGTCATTGCAAGCCCGTCGCTGGCTATCAGAAAATAAAATTTAGTGATGTTATTTGTAGCCAATGTGATAGGTATCCTGTTTTCTCTTTATTCTTTACCTAATAAATAATCATGGTGCTTATATGGAATCAAACATATATATATTTTTTAGATATTATATATCATTATGATGCTTATATAGCGTGGAGTATCTTATCTTGATAAATAAATTAAAAATTTCCTTATTTTAGAAAATAAAATTTTATTTTGCTCATCATTATTTAGAAAAAAAACACTTAAAAGTTATTTCCAAACATTAAATTTCGTACTCTTTATAGTTATAAAAGTTAAACCGTGTTGATGGATCAATATAAAATTCAGTTAACTTAGAATTTGAAGGAGTTAAAATTTAAAATAAAATAAAATAACTTATTTTAATTTTGTTGAAAGTGTATATACATACATACATACATATATATACACATACATATATATATATATATATACATACATATATATATATATACATATATCCCTATTGATGTTTCATCTCTGCTAAAGGGGATGCACCAATAATTGTAGTCAAAGGGAACAATTTCTGAATCAATTAATTTGACTTCTTGGTCAACAGAATTTCCCATGGTGGACAAATCAGAAGGTGACATTAAAACCTCCCCTTCTTGACCATATAGTCCTGCTCTTAATGACTTATCACAAGATATTTAATTTTATTTTCAATTAAAAAAATTTAATCCAAGACCTCTTAGAAAAATTGAGCAGGATGATCCTTAGCGTTAATTACCCCTTTTGTTTGAATCCCAAGAAAAACATTACTTTAACTGATATGATAATTCACAGTAAAATTAAATATTGAATGATGGGTAAGTGGATCCAATATTAAGCTTATTAAACTGCAAAAGCAGTGTTGAAAATGCCTTGAAAGGCCCCTTCCTTGCACACAGAAGCTTCTTTCGCCATTTAAAAAAACATGTTGTGCCTAACAAGAGGTGGACGTGCTTCCCAAAATCATTCTCCTTCTTTAGGCACAATGTGAATTAATTACTAATTACTGTCCTTTCATTGAGATTATGTTATGATATTTAGCGGCTCTGGGCGGCTAGACTAAGAGATTATATTGTTAATTGGATTAACTTCTTCATATTATATTAATGATGGTGTTGAATAGTATAAATTCAGAGAAAAAAATATATATCTACGGCTGCAATTATTATAAAATCATTAGGTTGTTTTCTTGCCATCTGTCTTTTAACATAGTAACCACAAGCAGCGAAAGGGAACAAAATTAGAAAAAGATCATGTTCATGTCTGTGTTCTGTTCATGGGTTTATGAATATATATAATTACCATTATCTTCTCTGAGGATAATGTGACGACGTCATTCCACTCAGATTAAAGCCATAACTTGGGGGATTGTGTTGAAAATTGAAGAATTTGAACTTACAGAATTCAGCCAAAGTTCCTTGAGAACTGTTCAGTATTTGGATTCTTGATAATTCCAGCATAGTTCAGAGGCCAGCCCGGCTAATAGAGAACTGAAGGTTCATGATCTGGGTTTGTAAATGGTTTTTTTTTTTTTTTTGTAAAAAAATAATAATGTTGTTGTAGGTTATTTTTTATATAATTTTTTTTGAAATAATACTATTTTAATTTTTTTTTAAAATAATCAAGTCTTAATTAAATTTTGACTAGATTGCTCGGATTTGATTAAATTAATTCTATATACCTAATTTTTTTTTTAAAAAATAGCTTGGTCTATGAACTACATCAATAGATAAGCTAGTCCACAACTGCCGAGTTTCGTAACTATAATTTCTAGAAATGTAATCCTTGGCCTTTTGTTTGGGAAGCAATTCTTTGTTTAATGGAAAATTGGCCTCTTAAAACTTTATCATTTATTTCGAGTAAAAAAATTATATGAAATATAGTTTTCTAGACTATAAGGTTGATGAAAACTATTTAAAAACTATTTTCTTGACTGTAAAACATATTTTTATTAATTTATCAAGTCTTTTCTTAAGGTGAATCAAACGTTAAATTAAAGTCGAGAAAAATATATATTTTATGTGAAACAAATGGGGTATTAATTATAATTTGATTAAGCTTTCTAACTATAAACCAGAAATAATTAAAATCTTTTTACATTTCAAGAAATTTCGAAATCTCCTTGCAAAAAATCAAATACCTGATCTCTTGCTTTGACACCAAATGCCACCTAAAAGAGAACATATTGCCGGTGATTTTAGGGTAGAATTCTTTACTCAATTTTACTCAAGAAAAAGAGGACGAAGAACATGCAAGAGGAAGTGTCCAATAATTGCCAACCACATATATATATATTTCTCTAAAAGAAGATTTTATTAATTTATTTTGACCCAAAGAGAATGCAACTGTCAATCTCATATATAGCTCCAATGGACTCCAACTTAATTTACAGAGCGTTATTCCATTGTATATGTAGGTATTTTAATCAGCAACCTTTATTCTTCAAGTCTCCTATCCCATAGATCATATCTCCCCCCCTTTGAATATTTCTCCACCAATTCAATTGTCAAGTATTACTTTTTATTAATTACTATTGTTGTTGTTTTTCTACTATATTTAGAGGTTGTTTTCTTGAAGAAAAAGAATTTAAAATAATAAATTTTGTTCCTTTGGAATTGGAATTATAAAAACAAGTAGGGTTCTTACGACCTAGCTAGTGACAAAATGTAGATTATCTAGAGAGATTAGATAAAAAGAAAAGGTGATCTTTTTTATTTTCAACTGCTAGAGAAGTTTAAGCTATAATTTATTGAAACTAATTTGTGTGTACTACTTTAATTTAGTATTTGTTTGATACTGTGATGATACGATATAATTTTTAAAAATATATTAAAAATTATTTTTTATATAAATACTTCAAAATAATAATAAAAATGCTAAAAGTAATAGGATTTTGATATTTTTTTCAAATCAAATATATTTTTAAAACATATTTATACACGGTTTTTAATATAAAAATAAACAATGTTTTATTCAATTAGCACAATAATTTTTTTTTTATTTAGATCTTTTCATCCAAAAAAAATGATGGGTCATTTTTATAAAATGTAGCCACTAAATCCAAATCAATGATTAGATTTTGTAATAAAATCAAATAGATTTTTTAGTTATATCTATGAATAAATATTCATGTATATGATGCAAATCCTTACCATTAATTAAATTTAAAAATTCTGGTTATACAAACATATAAGATGGATCATATCCTCAAGAGCATATAGTGATCAACATGATGGAATCCGACGAATTGATTATTTTAGTCCCAGATGAATTAGATTCCCTTAATGCATTGCAGTTAAAGAAGTCTCTTAGTATAACTTCAACACATTAATGTCTGCAAACCTGTCAGAAAATTAAGGGTTTGGGTGAGTCCGTACACCTTTCTCATCATTTCCCTTTCTGCTCTCCTTGGTTACAAATTAAATATTTCACTGCTTCCCTGATTTATATCCTGGTTGGAAGTCCAGGAAATATTGCTTTATAATATAAATTTTATTTAAAAATATATTAAAATAATATCTATTTTATATTTTTTTAGTATTAGTATATTAAAATGATAAAAAATACTAATTTAAAATTATATTTTTAAAAAATACAATCCAACCATAGCAATACCTAAATAAAACCCCAGAACACCTTTTTAATGGATTCTCTTTCTCTTTTATTTTTTATGGGCCAACTTGCAAATCGTTATTGTAGTTCAAAGCTTCCCATTTGACTGAAATTTAGCATGTTTAGTTTTTTTTTATTGGCTATCACTTGAAAGATATTAATAAAGATAATATTTAATAATTTATTGTTATTTTTATTAAAAAAATAATATTTTTATTTAAAAAATAATAAACTCCCCGATAACAACAACAGGACTTTAGAAACAAATGTATTTTTTATTATTTAAAAGCAAAATAGATACCACCATAAATGTTTTATTAAGGAAACAAGTTTACATGGTGTTAAATTGTTTTTTCTTGAAGAATTATTAAATGTAAATGTCTTTTAAGGTTTTTTTTTATGATTTTAATATGTTGATATTAAAATAAAAAAATATTATTTTAATGTTTTCAATTGAAATATACCCTATAACATAATATCAAATACACAATAAATAAAAAATTATTTATTAACAAAAAGCAACCAAAAAAAGAAGAAAAGAGTGTGGTTTAAAAGTATAATAATATCAATCATACACTAGGGTTTTTCTAATCCCGCTATGCTTAAAAATAAAACACGCTTTAGTTAATTATGAGAGAATTAAGAGAAGATAGACATGCCTTTTCTAATAATTAGCTTTCACCTGTTTTTCTGAGATTGTGTGGATGTTCTTTCTAAGAAGAAGCAGCTCTTTGCTAAACATTTATATATACTTTTAAAACATTATATTTAAAAATACTTAAACTTATAATCAAGTATAGCATGGCCAAACGGAATCTACATGATCCAATCTTTCTACAAAAACCATCCTAACCATAATGAAAATCACAAATCAAGAGATTAATGCTCTTTCAGACCCATTTGTAGCTAGGTTTGCTTCATTTCTAGATAGAAAATAGTACATACATATGGAGGAGGTCTTGCTTTTAAAAAAGATAGCAACCCATTTTGCTTTACACAAATCCATGACAGCAATCTCTTACATGATGGAACAAGCATTCACATTATCATCACTAAAGAGAGATACAATGTTTTCTTCAGGTGCATTTGAGGCTGGATAAGCTTGCACAACATTGCGAACATAGCCCGCCGGTGCCCTCTTGTCATAGGCACCGGAAACATAAGGATAATAAACTAGATGTTGAGGGATATATGGCCAAAATTCAGCTACCTTTCCTGTGCTCTTCACTCTTCTTAAGACTTTGTTTGGATCAACATATCCACTAACCACCACCCTGCTTTGTTTTCTGTTCACTTCCACCGTCTTTACTCCTGTATATGTATTGCAAAATTATATATACTTGCAAGTGTTTGCTAAAAAAAAGGAGTGAAATAAATCGAGAAGTGTATATATACTTGCAAGTGTTTGCTAAAAAAGAAAAAAGGTGTGAAATAAATCGAGAAGTACAATATTATTGCAGGTGGGTGAAGCAAGGAGAGATCGGATGGGATATTTACTAATTTTGCTATGCTCTTTAAGTTTTGTACTGGGGTTAGGTTGCCTTTTCCCCCCTCCTTCTTTCAGTATATATCTCATATCAAGAACTTAGAATTTAATGGAATTTTTCTTTTTGCTCTTTCTCCCCTATTCCAGCTTAGAATTTATCTGATTTTTAATTAATTTTCTAAGACAATAACCCGCTATCCATATGTACATGCATTCTTTGGTTTGATCCTGTCATAGCATAAGCTGTGTACTTAGATTGAACTGTCACTGTCAAAATTCAAAGAAAATATAATTTGAGCAAAAAAAAAAGAAAAAGAAAGATAGAATCTCTCAAGGTCACGACAGATTCATTTGTTTCCGATTTCGATGATTGTAGATATCTAAACAAAAGATGCCTTTGTTTATACTTGGAAAGCTTATATGCCCTTTTCATTGTGTGATTGTTTTCTCTGATTACAAGGTTGTTCAGACCCATGATTCACTCAGACCAAAAAGTGAATCAACTTCAACGAATGAAACAAGAGGAGAGCGGGGGAGAGAGCTAGAAAGCAAAACCTTTCATGGAGGTGACAGCATTTTTTACTCTTCTTTCACAGCCATCACAGTCCATCTTCACCTTGATCTCAACTGTCTGAGAAATATAGCACAAACCATATTTTAAAGAAATGAAAGGGTTACAGCGTAAAACATTTAACACAGCAAAGTTTTCGTTTGCTTCTTGTGCTGGTGACAGTGCAAAAGTTGGAGAGGTAATCAAGAGCTCCCATTCTTGCTTCTCTTTATCAGAAAGCAAACGAGCTAGAGCGAGGGATATGATATGGACTACGAGAGAGCTTTGGGGTGTTTATATAGGAAGTTGCTTGCTTGTATATGCAGTTGTGTGAAAAAGCAGTGTCCAGAGATTTTTGTTTTTTTTTTTTAAAAGGAGAAAACAATACACTACATAATTAATAATATAGGGAAAAAAATCTTGCCCACTTATGAAGGCAACAGTGCTTTTGAGTTTGATATTGATTTGTTTAATCTAGTTTGCACTTTGCAGGTTAATGGAATGAGAAATAATTGTAAAGTGCTTTTCTGTTGGCTTTCATTTTTTTTTTTCAATGAGCGTGGCTTTGCTTTCCCAATTATCTTTATTAAATAATCCCCCAATAATTGTAACATCCGTTGATTCTATTCAAGCTCCAAAGCTTGAAATATCAGAAGGAATTTCCCCCCCTTCTGGGTTTTATTTCTAAGGCTTTGGTAAAAGGTTGCGTGAGTGAATATGCGCGATCCAAAACGATAGTATTTGAAGATTTTTTTAAAATAATTATATAATTTTTTTAAAATTTAAAATTGAATTTTTATTAGATTAACCCAATGAAATTGGATTAACTTCTATCTAATTTAATTTAAAATCTAATCCGAGCTTGATCTTGATTTAATAGGCAACTAAGTTGACATAGACCATGCAAGTTAGGATCTGTTGATTCATCAGGTTTGTTCCAATTTAATAACATTTGATAATATCATAAAAAAATTAAATAAAATTATAAAATTTAATTCTCAAATCAAATTAATGTTAAGAAGAAAAAATAAATAAAATTAATAAAAAACCAATAACAAAAAAAATTGAAGTAAATATAGGCGAACACACTAGATCCGCAACTCGACAGATGAGATCAGAAGAAATCATAAAGAGAAAAATAAAAAAAAAATAATGAAGTTAAATATTTAATTAATATAATATTGAAAAATAAAATATAAAAATATAAAAATAAAAGTTAACTAGTGATAATTTTCCAAACTTATAATCAAATTATAAAGCAAGGATTATCTTATGATAAACAAATAAAAAAAAATCACAGGAAAAAAATTAATGTTCTACTCCGCAATGCATGTCATCACAATCTACGGTTAAAAAAGTTGATGTATCCTATTTTTTATTTTTTTAATTTTAATTTTAATTTAATTAATGAGTATACAGATAGGGGAGTGTGAGAATAAGAGATATTAATATGGTTGTCTCTAAGGCTTTGGTAAAAGGTTGCGTGAGTTAATATGCGCGATCCAAAACGATAATATTTTAAGATTTTTTAAAAATTTTAAATTAAATTTTTATTAAATTTACCAAATCAAATTGGTTTAACGTCTATTTAATTTAATTTGAAATCTAATCCAAACTAAATATTGATTTAATAGGTTTCTGACTTGATATAAACCAAGCCAAGTTCTGATATGCAAGCCATTGATTCATTAGGTCTATTCAAGTTTAATAATATTGATAACCTCATAAAAAAAATTAAATAAAATTATAAAATTTAATTTTGAATGAACTTAATGTTAAAAAAAAACTAGAAAAAAATTAATAAAAAAACAACAACAAAAGAAACTTAAGTAAACATAGATTAACACATTAAATCCGCGACTCAGGAGATGAGATCAGGAAAACTTATAGAGAGAAATAAATAAAAAGAAAATAATGAAGTTAAATATTTAATTAATATAATATTAAACGATAAAATAAAAAAATAATTTTAAAAAATAAAAAAATAAAAGTGAACTCATATTAATTTTCCAAACTTATGACCAAATTATGAAGCAAGGATCATCTTATCATAAACTAATTAAAAAAAAATCACAACTAATTTTTCAAGAAAATATTAATTACATAAAAAAAACAATGTTCTATTCAACAATGCATGTCATCACAAGCTACGGTGAAAAAAAATTGATGTTTTCTATTTTATTTTTTTAATTTTAATTTTAATTTAATTAATGAGTATATAGATAAGGGGAGTGTGAGAATAAGAGATATTAATATGGTTTAAATTTGAGGAATCAACATGCAAATAAAACTACGTTTAGGCTTGTAATAATGATAAAAAAGCCATATTTATGAGCAAAAAAAAATCCATTCTTTACGTTGAAATTGTTATATTTGAATTTCAAATTTCTTATCAAATTAACACACACACACGCAGAGAGAGAAGGTGCTAGGATTTAAACCCCTGACCACCAAACAAGAGAGGTTACACTATCATGTTAAAAAACTATTTTAATTTCAAAAATTAGATTGTTAAATAAGATTTAAAAATGATTTTATATTGTAATGAGGGATGATGGCCTCATTTGTATAGTCCAAAGCTCATTGAAGCTTCCATAAACCCCCCCAAAAAAAAAAAATCTTATGATTTTATTATAAGATTTAAAAATGATTTTATATTGTAAGGAGGGATGATGGCCTCATTTGTACAGTCCAAAGCTCATTGAAGCTTCTATAAACCCAAAAAAAAAATAAAAAATCTTATGATTTTATAAAAAAACCTGGGCGAGACGAATCTATTTCTTATGATTGTGAAAGCTCTTTGAGCAATAAAAAACCTGGGCGAGACGAATCTATTTCTCATGATTGTGAAAGCTCCACGGGCATAACAGCATCTAATTTCGTTATGGATTACCATCCAATACTGGAACTTCTTGTTTGAACATGGAAGGGCCCCAATACCCATGTCCTAGATACTATGCTCTTCATTATTGGACCTTTCTTCATGCTTCAGGACGCCACCTCAAAGCATCTCAAGCTACCGCAAGGACTTTGAAGAACCAAAAAAATTCATGCATGACATGAAAGGAGAACCATTTTCGAGTTTCTAATGCTTAGGTCAAGTTCGTTCATCTTTATTGTTTTTTTTTCTCGTTTTTTTAATATATGATGAAAAATGCATCCTAACCACACAATCAATTCTCCACTAAACTAGAATAACATATTTGCATCCTTCACATATCTGTTTAATCACAGTGAAATACATGCAGATCATCAGTTGGAAAATATGTCCCCGCTAACATGGATTGAATGGCTGCTGGTTGATCCACTTGCCACCAATCTCATCCACAGCATTGAAACATTCATAATGCAAGCACAGACAATGGCAATACACTCGTATTCAAACATCCATAATGCACTCATATTTGATTACATTAAAATTGGCCTGAGGTTCTTTGCACTGAGCTAACAGATGACACCAGATTGGAGTGTTTGCTGTACGGCTCATTTGCCATAAACAAAATCATTGGACTTTGTGATTAAATCCCAAAGAGACCTGTTTCTGCTTGCATCTATTGTCCAATCAATGTTAAGTTGGTACATTGAATTTCACAAATATGTTAATGGACAAACTCATCATTACATGTGGGACACTGAAGGGTTCGAAATAGTGACACATTAATAAATTGTTAAATGACTCTATCCCAACAATAATATAACAAGGAAACTTTCGGAGGACTTCATTCAGAATAATTGCCTTGCACAGTATGTACCAACATAAACTATGAAAGAATAAATTATATCATGGGACAGTCGAACGGCCCTCAAATTTCTCCCATCTTTCTTTAGTTAGTGTCTCTATTTTGAACTACCTTTTATCGAATTAAAAAAACAGAAGAAAGATGAGCCATCTGAGCTCCTAATTGGGACAGTACCATATATTCAATTGAGCGTATGCTAAAGAAAAGAATGAATGATGTGATCCAAAGAATTCACATCTTATAGATTACAATAACAGTTTCTAACCTTCGACTTCGAATACACTGAACAGCACAATGGAAACATACTTCGAAGGCAAGGTTCTGCGAAAGTGAAAAATCACCTATGATGCAATACAGCTCTTGTTTGAACAAAGTCGAAGGTTTGGAATAAACATCAATAATGACTTTTGGTTTACATCAATGCAGAATGCATGGGATAAATTAAGTTTAGGAAACAGCTATCCGTGAAAAAATTCAAGAAATCCCTACCTCTAGCCGAAATCTCAGCTTATGTAGTTGGTAGCCGTCCAGATTTAATGTTTTCTCTACTACAGTTTCTTCAGCTTTTGACCACGCAAACCATTCCAAAATGCAGCTGCACGAAAAACCTTTTTCCCAGGAAGCTGGAGTTCCAATACCTGGTCGGTATACAAAAAGCATCAAAATCAGCAACTCAAAAAGGCTTGGGGCATGCAGTGTTTATCTTGACAAATATAACATGCCTTAACACCTAAACAATGTTTCAACTGTTAAAAGAGACTTTTTTTTTTCATTTTACATTTTGAGGGGGGGGACCAGATTTTCTAAAACATTTTCTGGGATAGCACATAAAGTATAGTCTTAAAGAAAAATTGCAGATCAACAACAAAATAAATATATGATGACACGTGATGGCTGAACAGACCTCAAGTGCTGTGGACCTTCCACATGGAAACACCAGCGAATCCTTCACATAAGTGATGTCATCCGCTTCATCACCCTGAACAATGCTATGGTCGCAAACTCTTGTAGTAATAATCTTAAGTTCTACAATATTGCGGCGACCATTTTCATCGTCAACAATTGCTACTTTAGCCCGTGTCCCTGGCCACCCTGCAAATGCACGGACCTAAAAAGGTTGCATGTAATCACCACGCATTCATATTTGACAGGAAAAAGGAAAAGAGGGCTAACCTTATTATGGAGGACTGAAGCTTCTTGATCAAAGGATAACCATGACTCGTCAACAGATATCTGCATAGAGTAGAGAACTTATAGGAAGCCTTATCACAGCTCTTTAAATTCTTGCAAGAGAGTAGAGATGGGAATTCCATACTTCTTCCTAATGGATCCATTGCTGCTTGTATTTAGTCATAGTAAAAGGAATTCAAAACTAAAGTAACAGGAAGGGTGGGGGGATAACCTTTGGAGCCAAGGTAGCTTTGGAATCATCTTGGGGTTGAGCTTTTAACCTGGCTGATCCGTCAAGTATAGAAGGAAGCTCATGAATCAAAAGTTTAGATCCTGCGATCATTCATCGACAGAACTACCTGACTCAAAAGTGCATTCAACTGGGTGTTGCAATCAAAAGCCCATAATTCAGCTCAGACAATGTAATAA